CGCCATTCCCGTCCTCTTCGAGTGGCTCTACAGCGGCTTCAGCAGCGTCCTGCAGTTCCTGGGTGAGGCGGCGCCACCCCGCGCGGTTGGGGCGAAAAGGGACCGAAACGGGCAAAAAGGGCAGCGGCTTTCGCTGCTGCGCTTGGTCCCCTGGGGGTGGGTCTCGTTGTTCCCTGCTGGAAGCCCCGTGCCGGGATCGCTGTGGGAGAGGGATTCGCGCCCGTGGAGGTGCCTCCCGCATGCACGAGCCCCCGGGACGTCTCCCCTTCCAGGTCTGTACAAGAAGTCTGGAAAACTCGTGTTCCTGGGCCTGGACAATGCGGGCAAGACCACGCTGCTGCACATGCTCAAGGACGACAGGCTGGGCCAGCACGTCCCCACGCTGCACCCCAGTAAGAGCGGGGGCCCGCGGGAGCGCCCCGGGGGCGCCCACCGCTTTGGACGCGTCGGCCTGGCACCTTCTTCCCAAACACAGGGCCAGGAGCCCGAGGAGCAGCCCCTTTGGTCGAGGGAACGTGCTTCCCATGGAAGTAACGCCGTAAGCGCGTTAATAAGCACGTGCTTGAGCGAGGAGGTCAGAGGAGCTGTTTCCTCCCTCCCCGTTTTGGCATAAAGCACAGATACCCACTGTGCACCATGTGTGACATTAATATATGTCTTCACATACACACACGGAGCAATTCCGGCCACGACAGCGTCTTCGTTTTCCTGGAGTGTCTCTGTTTTCTTCTGCAATGCAGCCTGTGTCTCTCTTGTAGCGTCGGAGGAGCTGACGATTGCTGGGATGACTTTCACGACCTTCGATCTGGGTGGACACGAGCAAGGTAACGGATGGATCCATAGGTGGGTCCATCTCGTGATTTCCACGATGTTCTCCAGCTGCTTTAAGTTCACCTGGTGAAGAGGTCTCATTTCTGTCGCCTGAAGCGGTTTATGGACTTGCTTCAACTCGTGTTTTTCTCACCCGGGTGGGTATTTCTCGCCTCTGTTGCAGCTCGCCGGGTCTGGAAGAACTACCTGCCGGCCATCAACGGCATCGTCTTCCTGGTGGACTGCGCCGATCACTCGCGGCTCATGGAATCCAAAGTGGAGCTTAACGTAAGCTCCCCGTTCCTTCCTCCGCCGCCACCTCCGAGCAGCTGAAGCGCCCGCTCCCGTCACGGGGGCTGGAGCAGCAGGATCTGTGGGTCTCCTGCCTCAGGCTTTCAGTGTCCCCCTTACGGTGCGGGGTGCATGTGTGGGAATTTGCACGTTACCCCAGCGCTGAGATCAGCGTAGGTCTCTGTTCTAAAACCTGCCCTGGAAAGAGCCCTCTTCCAAAGGGCACCAAAGATAAACGTAGTGTTTCACGGAGCTTAGGGAGAGAAACGCAAGGTTTCTTCAGAAACACAGGGTTTCTGCAGGTGGGGAGTGCTCGCTTGGCCTTTGCTTCACTCGGCCGTCTCGCACGCAGGCGCTCATGACAGACGAAACAATATCCAACGTGCCAATCCTTATCCTGGGCAACAAGATCGACAGACCGGAGGCCATCAGCGAGGAGAAGCTGCGGGAGATCTTTGGGCTGTATGGACAGACCACGGGGAAGGTAGGGAGAGCCTGTGCTTACGCCGACGCGCTTAACCACGCGCTTGAGCTCCCTCTGGAAGCGGCCCTTTGCTGTGGATTGGGACGGGCGTTTTAAGGCATCTCCTCTCATTTTCCCCCGTTTCTCCCGGGCTTTTCCAGGGCAACGTGCCGCTGAAGGACCTGAACGCGCGCCCCATGGAGGTGTTCATGTGCAGCGTGCTCAAGCGGCAAGGCTACGGCGAGGGCTTCCGCTGGCTATCGCAGTACATTGACTGATCCTGGGGCGGGCGCGGAGCTCTGCCCCTCCGGACTGATCCCGTTCGTTCGCAGCTTCCGATGGACTTTCCCATGAGGACACGGAAGGCTTTCCGACCGCGTACCGGCATTGACCAAGAGACTCCTGGTTTTCTGCTCCTCCGTCGCACAGTGGTGACACAGCTCTTTTCCGCAGGACGCGGAGATCCTGCCCGGGGCTGCCAGCCGTCCCGCTCCGCTGCCGCGGTTTCCCATGGAAGCTGGGCCTTTTCCTTACCCCGGGGCTGGGGTGGTGGCGGGGGTCAAACTCGGCACCCTGCACGGAGGCAGCTGAAGAGGAGAGCACGTCTCACCACTGTGGTTGATTGCCAACTCGGCAAGATAACACAAAATGAAGAGCAACTCATCAAAAGTGGTGGCAGCATTTTGAGGAAATGTGGTGCCAGACAGCAAGTAGCTGACCAGAACAAACAAAAAATTACATATATAAGCATGCCTTGAGATGGAAGTACAGAGAATTGGGAATGGCAGCAGTTCTCCAGCTGCCCAGCTCTGCTGTTCCCCAGGGAAGCAGTGGTAGCATGAAAGCCTGAGGTTGCCACCTGAGCACATCCCTGCCCTCGTGCACCGTTGAACTCAACATGAGCCAACCCCACCTCCTGCCCCTAAAGCATGCAGGCTTCATCTATTTCCAAAAAACAGGCATTTTGCACTCAAAGCAAAGTGACACCGAGGTCACGCCTGCCTCGCGAGCTGCTTCTGGGCCAAGAGCTGCTGCGAGACGCTGCGCGGCAGAGGCGACCCCTGAGCTTGAATCTTCACGTCTCTCTCTAGCCCTCGGCCTCCTGGCTATCCCTCCTACGCAGATCTCCACGGAGCTCCCCACGGAGAAGACGGCCGTGTTACGCTTCGTGACGATGAACATTAATGGCCTGTGACAAAACCGGCCTCTCTGGGGTGGCTTGTCACACAAGGTGGGAATTTCCCCCCAAATTGTACTGACACGGCTATGAAAAATGTCAAAAAATGCACTGCAAAACAAGCACCTTCAGGCCAAGTCCAAGGCGACTTTCCCCGGAAGGCCACAGAGCCACTGGGGGCAGTTGTAGCACGGAGGTGTCTGGCGTTTGCATCTCACACGGTTATTCACTAGGACCAAACCTGTCTCTTTTATACTCGGCAAGTTTTTGTCTGGCGTTTCCTTGCTGTCGCGCACTCGTTTTCGGTTAAATCAATAAAGACATGAGTTTCTCCTCAAAGACAGGAAAAGGAAAAATTTAGACACGCTTAAAATGATATGAACAGCAAAGATAAGTACAGTAAAAGCCAGCAGAAATTGGCAAAGACTGTACTATTACATAACATAATTAGGCATCTAATTAGGATACCAAATTATTAGTAATATATTCTTTAGAGCTTGAGGACTCTATGTATATGAACTAAGCAGAAATCTTTCTATTTCTGTATGACTACTTGTAAAAAAAAAGCATCTATAAAAATAACTCAGTATGAACCATGGTTTCAACACCCTCAAGTAGTGGCAGCACCTCGAATCTGTGAATCTTGAAGCAATAGCTTAAATGAGGCTCCCAACATTCATCTCAGAGAGAGTACATGTTTTGTACAGATATAAAAGAGTCTTTCAGACTTTTGCTTCACTGGAAAGGTTGAGTATGTTGGAGGAGCAAATGTACTGGCAAGAAGAGAATTAGTTTTACAGTGGAGCTTTAACGTGTTCCTTGAACAGAAGACATGATAGAAAGCAGATCCAAGGTGTTTGCCACGAATCTACTGGTGTTTTGCCAGAACAACTTTGTCACCGGGAGAAAGGGAGAAGGAAAATCCACCCACTGAAAGACATGTGCAGGAGACGCCTGTAAGGAGAGGCCAAATCTTCACGTTGTAAGAGACAACGTGGAATGAAAGATTCCTGGAATCTTTCCTGGCTCCTGGAAAGCGCCAAACGGGTTAATTTTCAGCCGCTTCTGTACACCATCTGATCGTCCTACTTACTTGAAGAAGGAGAAAAACATCGTTCCAAAGGGGGAACTCCAGTGTGAAGGTCTATGAAGTGACAGGCACTAATGGCTTTTGACAATTTGACTTTTTTGTCCATGTTGGGCTGCTGGGACTTGCCACCGGACGCAGGGAAATCTTTGAAGGTGCCCGTTGGCAACGCTGACATCCTCCCTCTCCCCGAGCCAGGTTCTTCGTGCCTGATGCTAATCTCATCCAGAGAGGGATTTACGCCTATTAGGCTCTCTAAAAATCTACTGTCAGTCCTGGTTATCCCAGTTTGAGTTTATATGAAAAGGAGAGGAAAACAACGTATTTAAAATTGCTTTTAAAATTCAGAAAGCCAACACGCAACATGAGATGTGTCTTAGGTAAAATCTACCTGAGCTTCAGGAATTTAAAGGAATCATTAAGAAAGATTTAATTTCATCTCCTTTTCATATGAAGAAAACTGTCATTATTGTCATACAACTGGTCTTTTTGTTTTCTTTTTGGCAATTAAAAGAAACACCAACTCTTAAATGCCATGGGCAAGTGGAAAATCTGGCTCATAATTTCACAGTTTTCCAATGACATGAACCTCGTCATAAGACTGCACATTAACACACAATTCCCTGTGGAAAAAAAAAGATGCTCATAGTTTTAATTAACTTCAATCCCTCAATCAAGAAGTATACTAAAATTATAGAATATACATATGCATGGTTGAATTCCTCTTCCATTTGGTGCTTTGTTACCCAAATATTAGATTTCATATCTGAATAGGTGTGGAGTGTGACTAACCTAGAGGGATACTTCTATTTTATATTAAGAAAGAATGTGAAAAGGTGACAGTTCACTCGTGTTAATCCTTACAAATCTGCAGTGTGGCAATGAATTATAAACTGACTTCTGCAGCGGTTACGGGACCACAGAACATGGTTTCATTAAAATTCAATTTGGCTGATCACACATTGTCTAGAATTTGGGTGTTCTACATACAGATTCCAACAGGACATGAAGGTCACAAGAAGCCATATGTCCTTCTGCTAGACTCCAGGTTTCTTTTGCTCTCCTTTTCTTTGTCAGACGAGGCTTAGAATCCAAGCAACAACGTCCACGAATTTGGTACCTCAACATCACACAGTTGGTTTGCATCTGCATGGATGTGGTCAAGGCCAACCGGGACCTCTTCAAAAGCTTCACCCCGGCTACCAGCTGCAGCGTGGCCATTTCCCAAGGCAAATTCCAGACAGCGCTCCTCAAAAGAGCTTTCATCTCCTGGTTGATGGGGTTGCACGGCTCAAATGAAGAGCTGTCCCATTGGAGTTAAACACAAGGAGGCTTTCTGGATGGCACAGCGCTTTTCAGATTGGAGGCGTGCATGCAAAACTTCAAAACAGCTTTTATTTATCAGCCTTTCAGGCATTCTGCTTACTCTGCCAAGAGTTTGGGAAGGATTAAGGGCAGAGAAAAAAAATTATGAAAGAAGTAAAAAAAAAAAAACCCTTCATCTTGTTTACCTAACTGACTTGATTGATGTTTTTAAATGATATTGTACTCTCAATAGCTATTGCCTTTAATTCAAAGAACTTAGCTACGTTACTTCAAAGATCATGTTTTTGCCATTGTAAAACGCTTGATGGTAGGTAATTACAACACATTATCAGAATAACTCAAATACTGCATATACTGCATTACAAATGACAACCAGCAATTAAATCCATTACCGCCTTTCATCAAACTAACCAGGGAAAAACACTTAACTATTGGCCTGGGCGTATCTAAAACCGATAATAAGCACCCATTTTACTTCCTCCAACAATAGTCCTCAGCCCTTGACAACTTCTATTTATTTTTCAATAGGGAGAGGTGCCAAACCTTTTCTTTGGGAGGCTCTTGGGGGATGCATGGGACAGATCTCTACCTGTCGCATCCCGAAAACGGAGCATTTCACACGGCATCTCGTGGGAGCAGCCACAACTCTTCCTGCGGCAACAAGTGCACTGAATTATGTGCTAAACAAATGTAGCCACAGGACCGAGAAGGGACTGTCTGGGACTGCAGCAAAAGGGCAGCGGAGTCTTTGAGGTTGGAATAATTATTTTATCAGCATGGATGGAGCACATGGAGGATGGGTTTGGCACCTCTTGCATGAAGAAAGATTGAGCCGGATGAAGGAAAAACAGAAAATAACCCCAAATACTCAAAGCATCTTGAGGATTTGGGCAGAATTCTCTCTAGGAAGAAGATGAAGTAATAACCAAAGATAGAGGCAGAAGAGCATTGCATAAACAGGACATGTGTGACTAAGAGAAAGAAACTATAGCAACTAACCACGGACTTATTTGCTGCAATTAATTAATTTATTCTTATCAAGGCATTAATTCTTAACAACAATTTGCTTTTGACTCAGATTAATGATTTCCGCCCAGGCTGATGCTCAGAGCAAATCCATTTTGCTAAAAGCAGTCATGCACTCTTCACCAAGAGGGATGGAATTACAGTGACAAACAGCACATTCCCCAACAGGAAAATGAGAAAACAAACCCAGTCTGAAGCCTTGACTCCACCTTTAAAAGGATGACCCCAAAGAGGATGATTTTACGCCATTCCTTTTGCAATATTAATGGGCAGAGAATTGAAACTTTCCTACTCCACGTGGCAGGTTTGATTTTCTGTGCTGGGGTTTATTTGCTGCCGGGACATGGGGCAGGCCATGGCTCTCCCCGACTGCTGTCACTCGTCTTCATCAGGAAGCAGGAAGGTGACTTTTCCACCCCCGAGATCTGTAGACCTACTAGAAAGGATCACATGGGACATTTGGCTTAGTCTTACTCCGCTCTTGTCATATTTAGTGCTATTTCTAGGCAATCTCAATTCTTCCTTTCCATTCAGAACGTGTAAAGAGGTGCTACAGGACCCCAAACCAAGGAACAGGCCATTTCTGGGGGAATTCTGTGTGTTTTAGCAATGTCACAAAGCCTTACAGAGTGCAAGTGTTTTGGTTTTTTTTAATATTTTATCTA